GGCTAGAGCCATTAACATCCCTAAACAAAAGACATTCAATGCTCCTAAGTCTAGGCCATGCAAAGCCATCTCTTAATAAGCGTTGTCCAACTGTGCACATCCTGTACTGGAAAGTTTTCAAACACCTTAGTTTCGATGAGTTTTTTTTTAGTTAAAAGCCATTTTTTTTAAAAAAAAAATCACTTTTATTAAAAAAAAAACAAAAAATCATAAAAAAACTAAAAAAAAGAGAGTTAAAAACTAAAAAAAAAAGTTAAAAACTTACTCTCTCTTTTTTTTAAGATAAAAATTTTAGTTTTTAAAAAAAGTAGAAGTCAAAAATCAAATATTTTATTTCAAAAATTGAATATTTTTAAAAAAATTATTTTTTTTTTTAAATTTTACAAAAAACACTTAATAAAATAAATAAAACATAAAAAGTACTTTCTTTTACAAGCTTATCGAGACGCTTAATAGATGCACATGCACCCACATTAAGCATACATATCAATTTACCAATTTGGTCCCTAGCGCTTAAATCTAATTTAACCATGAAATTTTATGCAGATTATTGATTAAATATAAGTAAATTGTTAAATTAATTAATATCCAAACAGAAAGTAACATACATATATGAGATCTGGTGTATAGAGATAAAGGATAACTCTGACTGGTTAACTTAACATCAAATGGATCGAATTGTTGGTGGACAACATTATTATTGTGGGTGAACTTTCTTTGTGTCTGCAAGTGTGAGTGAGCAATGAGTGTGAATTGTGAAGTAATAGCCGATTACCCAGTTCTTGAGGGAAGCCATTGTATTAAATAAAATCATAAATGAGCCTGTGATGTTGTACCAATATTTTATGTGTTTTTGAACCCAAAATTAAATTAATAAATAAAGGATGTTCATAGGAAGGACACCTCTCTCGAATATATTTTAAAAAATATATATGATTGGATAAAACAAAAAAAATAACATTTGCGCCGTTTAATGATTTGTCAGTTTTTTTATTTTATTTTATTTTATTTTGTGCTAAAAAGTTATGGGATTGAATAATCTTTAAATCATTTTTTTATAATAAATATTTGAGAATCGTAAAATATAATGAGTAAGACAATTCTTCAAATATTAGTTCTAAAATATAAATACCGTAATTAATTCCATCTTTACATTGACACAAACAAGTTTGATAAATGTTCAGAATGCTTTCCGAGGCATGAAATGTATTTTGATCAAAAATAATTTTTTTATGTCTTTGAGTAAAATACCTTTTAAATTCTTTTTAAAATTGATCCTGCTCGGAAATTAATGCTACATTATTTATCTAAATGAACACAATAGAAATTAAGAAAAACTATTTAAAAAAAAAAACAAACAAAGAGAATAATATATACACGTGAAGCCTAAAAAAAATTATTAAGAAGGATTATTATAAGATGCTATGTGTGTGGATGAGATGACATACAAGTTATTGTATAGGTAAGTTGCCCGTGCTCAACATTTGATTATTGAAAGATGCATTTCATTGAAAGATAAAGAGACCCGTGACTGATTTCTTAGCTTAATTTGTAGTTGTATAAGTATTGTAGCATGTTTTGGAGACACATATCAACCCTCAAAATTAAAAGTAGTCAATTTATACATTTTCTTTTTCTATGGCTACCGATTTATTTGAAAACGGCACCGACGCATCTAAATCAAAACAAAAGAAAGAGAATTTCCAGAAAATAATTTTTGAGATTTCACAATTTATTAGTTTTGGGGATTATACTTCTTCTGCAGGCACGAGAAGAGCTCCATTTGCCGCAAAGACAAATGAGGTGGGTCCGCTAGCTTTTAAAAAGAAATAAACAAATAAAATTTGTGGCACAGAAATTGAACTGCCTGTTGTAGTATAAGAAGACATTTTCTTGCAAAAGCAGAAGTATTTTTTCCTTACTAGTTATATAAAATAGGGAAAATATTTCTCTAGTAATTGAAAATAAAATTATCTCTAGTGAGTCTAAAATTATGTCGTTTTGGATTGTAAGATTAAAAAATTATAACGATAAAAATTAATATAACCCTACAATAAATTAGAATTACAAAAATATCTTAATTTTCGCTACAAAACGACGTCATTTTAAGCTTACTGAAGATAATTTATCTTCATTGACTGAAGAAATTCTTTACCATATAAAATAAGGGGAAATGGACTCTCGTATTACATGAGAGAAAAATTCTGTCATGCACACACAAATTAGAGGTAATACTTACTTTATATTTTTTCTTTCTTTCCTTTAATGTGTGTGTATGAGAGAATTTTTCTCTCATGTAACATGAAAATAATAAAGCCCATAAATAATATCAAAATCAAGATTATGTGTATGGTAACTACTATTAAAAGATGGAATAATGGATGGGATTTGTATTTGTCATTTAACATGACATAACAAACATTCCTACACACACAACATTTTGTGGGGCCACACTTTTTGAAGAAAAAAGAAAAAAAGAAAATTACGACACGCAAAACGAATCTCTATAACATTACACAATCACTTTTCCTACAACATATATAACTCTTATAAAACTCATAATGGATTCTCATGTAATAGGAGATAATAATCTTCTATTATAGACACAACTTTAATTGGTTTCATATTTAAAAAAGAAAATAAAAGAAATAAAAGATCAAATCTCTATGTGTGTGTGGCATGAGAGATATTTTCTTATGCAATATAAGAAAAGTATTTCCCATAAAAAGATTTGTTTCTTTTCTTATTTATCTACATAATACTTAATGTACTATATCACGCCTGATTAAAATATTAATTTTAATAAATCATATTTTATTACTTTTAAATTAAACCAAATAATAATGTGGTCCTTTATAAATTAATCGTATAAATAAATAAATCTCATTTGTGTTTGTTTTCGTTCAAATTTCTGATTTGAAGATTATTTTATGGAAGCATCAACAATGTATAAACAATGGATTTTATAAGAGTTATGTTATAAGAAAAATGATTGTGTAATGTTATAGAGATTCTTTTTGGGTGCCATAATTTCTTTTTTTTATTTTTTCTTCAAAAAGTGTGGGTCCCACAAAATGTTGTGTGTGTAGGAAAATTTGTTGTGTCATGTTAAATGACAAATGCAAATCCCATAAACAATATGGTATTTTTGCAACCCAGGTTTTTTTTTTTTTTTTTTCCAATTTAGATATTGTTGTTGTTAAAGGTATATAAGTCCCGTTAATGAAATAGATGAGGTTGTGAAGTACAAAATTAAGCACTCGGTTTTCATTTAGTATAACATTTTTACAATACTATATAATCATATGATGACCCATTTTCATAGATTATTTTTATAAATCATAAGCGAAAAAAATTGTTAAGAAGTAAAACTCTTTCATTTTTATGTTGATACATTATTAAATAATACTATAAAAATTATAGTAACTAAAAATCAAAATTATACTCTTAAAATTATTATTGTACTTTAAAAAATTGAATGAACTATTTTAAAGCAAATAAAATTCAATCAATTTAAGGTAAGTGAAGAAAAAAATTATAATTATGTATATCGTTTGTCTACTTATATTTTATAAACCTTAATCATTTTACCGATAAAGATTTAGAATTTAAGGTTAATGTTAATGTACTATTAACCGAATCATATCCTTAAAGGGAAGACCAAAGTTCATCTTTTCGATAAAGAAATGCTTATATAAATGTAGGATAGCTAAGTTGTAAACGAATTATATTATTAATTAATAAATAACTATTATAATTAATCAATAAACTATTACAATTAATCAATAACTATTATTAATTAATTAATAAATACGAATTATAAATTTAGGTTAATGCTTAATGTTTCTACGGTAGATATAGATAAATTATATATATTCACTCCCAAAATAAGTCATTTTGGGTTAAAAGATTAAAAAATTATAATGAGAAAGACTATTATAACTCTGAAGTAAATTATAATTATAAAAATATCTTAATTTTTGCCTCAAAATAATATCATTTTGGGCTCAACGTAGATAACTTATCTACATTATATAAAAAATGAACTCTAAAATTTATTATAATTAATGATGTTATTAACTTAGTATACCAATTTAAATATATATTTTAAATTTATACAAGTACTTTATATAAATAAATTGATTATTTAAAGAACTTTTTAGTCATTACAATAATATGTGCCCTTATCAAAAACCTAAAGTTTTAGTGTGCATGCATGCCTTAGATTTTTTGCAAAAGTAATTGTTGCATTCAATCGTTGTCGTTCCTTGTAGATCCATCTTCACGTGTTCCTAAAGTGAATCACTCATCATGTAAATCCAAGAACCTTATTTGCATTAGAAATTTAAACAAATTAAGTTCTGGGTTTCCACCTTCTTTACTTGCGCACCCGGTTTCCTACATCAGACAAAATCCTTACATAAGGTTTTGCTATTCGTTCAACCAACACAAACAAAAACATATGTTATAAACAAAGCATTATTATATATTATTTTGATTAAACGGTTGAACAACTTGTTAGTTACGTAGACATAGGGACAATATAGCCAAATACATATATAGGGTATTAATTAGCTCCTGTGCCTCCACGTTTACAATAATATCAAAACACATGATGGGACATATACATGGGATCTGTCAGAAAATAGCCAAAACTAAATCATAATAATTAACACTGTAGACTCACGGCAGAAAAAAAAAACAATATTCAATATTAAACAAATCATTATGTAGAGAATAAATAATAGAGATGAACAACATTTCAAATCAATTGAGAGGGGTCTGAATAATTTGGAGAAGTTTTAGCTCAAACTTGTTCATAATTTAATTGGTTGAGTTGGGAATGATGCACCTCTCTGCCATTTTAATATGTTAGAATATTAACATATAAAGTCCTGGCCATAGTAGGATGATAATAATATAACTCTTCATTTAAAAGCATTCTCTTTTTGTTGCATATCCAAAAGCACAATTTTATCTGTTTTTGTTCAAAGCAGAAGTAGAGCTATGCCGAAGCCTTGTGACTTGCAAATCAACATTAATGGTCAGCAGATATTTCTTTTGAAAGAGGTATTTCATTGATTGTTTTTTAGAATGATATTTTGATTCGAAGAAATTATAAACATGGGGTATGTAAGGTGATATTCTAGTTCATTTATTTTGCAGAAGATTATATCAAAATACTGTGGAAGGGTGAAGAAAATCTTGAATCATCAAAAGAGAAGATGTCATGTGCAAAACTTGAGGATTAGAATCAATGATTTCCCTGGAGGACCAGATGGGTTTGAACTAGTTTCAAGGTTTTGTTACAACAATGGCAAAATCCCAATCACTGTGGCTAACGTGCCTCTCCTTCATTGCTGTGCTGTTTATCTTGGAATGACTGAGGAGCTCTTCAGTAACAATCTCTTGCAACAAACAGAAACTTTTCTTGAGGGAATCTATTACTGGATATGGAATGACATACTTGTAAGTCTCATGAGTTGCCATTTGTTTTATACATATGCAGATTGCTGTGGTCTCTTAGAAAAGATCATTAGTGCACTCTTAGCAAAGATTGACCAAAATTCAGATACAAACCTTATCACTTCCTCCTCTTCAACATCATCATCATCATCTTCACCAGAAAGCAATTCTGCTAAGAGATTCTCTTCTTCAACCCCAGAAAAAATAAAGACAACTTTGCCAAACAAAGCATGGTGGTTTGATGATTTGGCAACTTTATCCCCAAAGATCATTGAGAAACTTTTTCAGTGTGTTGGAGCATACAAAGCTGATAACAACAACTTGATCCTTACAAGATTTCTGTTGCATTATCTTAAAACAGCTACTCAAACCAGAGTTGTTAATTGCAGAAACAGTAGTGAGTATGCTGCTCTTGCAGAAACAGCTGCTTATGGGGTCATATTTGTTGGTAAGAAGACATTTTCTTGCAGAGGCCTTTTTTGGGTATTAAGGATTGTATCTGGATTTGGGTTGAGTGATGGTAGCAGAACTGAACTTGAGAAATTGATTGGTGGAATGCTTGAGCAAGCTACTTTGGATGATCTTCTGGTCTCTGGACATGATATGGGAGTTCATTATGATGTTAATTTGGTGATAAGATTGGTTACACTATTTGTTGATATCAATGGCTCTAATGAACTGTCTTTGCAGAAACTGAGAAGGGTTGGTAGATTAATTGACAAGTATTTGAGAGAGATATCCCCTGATCAGAATCTTAAGATCTCTAAATTTCTTGGAGTTGCTGAATGCTTGCCAGACTCTGCTAGGGATTGCTTTGATGGGGTCTATAGAGCCATTTACATCTATCTTGAGGTGAATGTCACATACCCTTTTTCCCCATTGATTTTCATATGCATCATCTCCCTAAAGTATCATAAGAAATGGAAAAGAGAGAATACATAAATAACTTCTTCTTTTTCCCTAGTTTTCACATTGAAATTAGTTTCTTGCCTTTTTGAAATCTACACCTTTTTGTAACTATGTATCTTCTGAACTTCTAACCAGTATAAGATGCAAAATCAGTTGAAAAACCAAAAAGAAAAAGGCCTCAATTTGGTTCACCTGTCTTTTTTTTATTTTTTTCCTTCCATTTTGTTATATATATATGGAGAAGAATTTATTTACAAGTTTTTTTTTACAAATTTTTGCAAATTACACTGTGTATTTCTGGAAGTACATAGTACTAGTGTACTTCCGAAAGTACATAGTGTAGTTTGTAAACAAAAAGTTTATAAATATAACTCTCTCATATATATATATATATATATATATATATGGAAAAACTATTCTCATGTCACATGAGATAACTTTTCTTCCTACACATCCTTCGATAACCGTGTAACATTTTTCTTTTCTTTATTTTTTATTTTTTATTTTTTAGGTAGTAGGTCCCATCACTATCTGTCTATAACATGAGATTTCTTCTCTCATGCAACATGAGACTAGATAAGCTCATATATATATATATATATATGGATTTAATGTTTCTAAAGTGAATGTCGATAAATTATCTACATTCGCTCCCAAAACGACATCGTTTTGGGTTGAAAAATTAAAAAATTATAATGAAAAAGACTATTATAATCTGAAATAAATTATAATTACAAAAATACATTGATTTCCGCCTCAAAACGACGTCGTTTTGGGCTCAATGTAGATAAGTTTTCTATATTGACCGTAGAAAAAGTGAAACCTATATATATATATATATATATATATATATATATATATATATATATATATATATTATGTGTTATGTGTAATATTGAATCAACCTAAAAAAGAAAGTACAAGGAAGGTGCCTGCCCGGATACGTACAAAAATTATATAAATAAAAATTTACACTTTTTCTGAATTATTAACATGCCCTAATTGTGCTTTTTCGTCTTTCTTATCCAATTGATCTTGATAGCATTTACTAACCATTAGTGTAGTAGTGAATTTTTGTTATCTCTTTCATACCACCATATTTGACTTTTACTGATAATATTATATAAATTTTTCTCATTTCCTGAATTGCAGAGTCACCCAATGATCACATTTGAGGAAAGATCGAGATTGTGTAGATGTCTTAATTACAGTAAACTCAGCTTTGAAGCTAGTAAAGATCTGGCCAAGAACCCTAGAATACCCCCAAGGATTGCTATGCAAGCTCTTATTTCTCAGCAATCAAAAATTCCTACAAGCGATTTTGTAAATGAGAGTCCAAGAATGAACCCTTCCCAAATAATTTTGTGCAAGGAAGCCAACATACACAGCTTTTCCCAAGAGAAAAAAGATGTGAGATTAAACCTAGAGAGAATGCAATGGAGAATAGTAAAACTGGATAAATTAAGCAAGGACATTAGCCATAATGTCATGCTTAATCCTACTCGTGCAAGAGCCTCGCCAAGATTTTGTTGAATATCTTCCTCTTTGTGTGTACCTGTCTATCACTATCCAAGATACAATGATATTTCTAGAATTGTAAAAATATGTAATTTTATTTTTATTTTATATTTGTTTAGAATTTCAATGTGATAGGAGTAAAATAGAAAATATTTCCTCATGATTGCATACTTAAACAAATATTATTGGATAAGATTCTGCAAACTAGAGAAATAAAGTGTATTAAGTTTTACTGCTAGTAGAGTTTTGATTGCTCAGAACCATTATTTTCCTATTTCTTTTCTGTTTGAAATTGTTGAAATTGCTGATTAGTTATTACTCCAGTTATATGCATATCATTTATTAGAAAATAAAAGATTCTTCTCTTTCTTTAATTGGTTTCATAAAGAAAAAGAATAAAAATACATGTGCATATATAGCAAGGACCACAAAATTACTTTTGTTTCATAAAGGAAACAAAAAAAAAACAGTACATATGTATAAATGAAAATATATGTACACATATACCAAGTACTACAAAATTACTTCACTTCCATTCATTACTTTCCTTCCAAAAGGGAATAAGATAATGATGGGACCCATGGAAGTTTTATCACCCCAAATTCTTTCCTTTCCATTGGTATCGTGCTACTAAACATGGGATGAACTTTATCTTTCCAACCTTTTCCGTTCTTTTCCATCCCAAAAAGACATAACAAACAAAATATAAAAGAATAGGTGTGTAACAGATCAGTAACTTTATTTTAGGAGCGCACAAAATAATAATCGAGACAAAGACACTTTCCTAAACAAAGAATGCAATATTTCTGTACGAACTAATTATATGATATGAAGCACCAGAATTTCAACCGGGGGGGGGGGGGGGGGGGGGGGGGGTAAGTATGTAAGCAAAATCATGAATACAAAAAGATGCAGAAGGCAAATCGAATTTAGCAATCAACCATGAGTGCTAGAAGAATTCGGAAATGAGGTTGGCAATATTAGATTCTTCTTTTGGAAATTGGAAGTGTCATCTGAGATGGGTTCTTGTGATCTATGAGTACGAATTTTCTAATTAGTCATAGATGTCCATGAAGCTTCCAATAGGTTTCTTTGGCGTGATTGGATCTTGCCCAATAATTCCACTTCTAAAGCTCCGTAGTCTGAGATAATTGCTCGATACGACATAGCATTATTATCCCGCTGTATAGGATTAAAATTATGGTCAATCTTTACGGAACAGCAAAGTGAAACATAACACTCCGCCTTTTCTCTTGTAACACATATCAATAACTTAACGTCAGAAGAAAATGGATCTTGACAAAAACTTGGATCCTATTTGCGTCATAATATTGAGTCCAACCAAGAAGTCATATACTTGCTCTTTTGTTTAAGAGCTTTGACTGAATCTGTAATGCATCAATGAGCAACGGAAACAAGAAAAAAATTGAAAGCAAATAAGTAAGAGGATTGCTAAAGTAATAAGGATCAACATATATTTATGAAGTTAGAAGAGACAAGAATTTCTTTACCCAAAATTGAAAGAATAAGTAATGGATCACATACTGACATCCTCCGCAGACATGCTTCATGAATCGACAAAGACACCAGCCTACAAGTTCAAAACAAAGTCCAATACAGAGTCCAAGTTTAATAATCTTAAAATTGTCTAAAAGCCATGATCCACGCATAAGGTTCTTACATCTTTCACTACAATCTTTTCTGGAAGACTCAATCTTGGCAATAGCCATTCCAACAAATAGAATGACGAGGTTTGATAATTGCTTGAAACAGGATGATCATCTGAAAAGCAAGGAAAGGAAAGAATAAAAATAGTACAATCATCACAAATCAAGGCTGATGGCTAAAGCAATTGTCAATTGTAATTATTAGCAATGGAGTTCAAACCTGAAGAACGTATAAGTACTCTGTGTGTAACAAAGGACTGACAGTTGAAGGGACAACATCAAATTAGAAAGCTTAAAACTGAATCTTATGCTGGTCCTGAATCAGATATGTATTTATGAATTTATGTCATGTAATAGTGCCAAAATCTTTACCTGCCAGACAGAAGGCATATACTCACGATGCTGAAAATGTTGATGGTTTCTTGTAACATTTCTTGAACATCTTTCTTCCCGGTTATCTTTTATAAAATTCCTGTTACAGGGTATCATCATACATAAAATCAAGAAGTACTCCAATATTGAGATTACAAGCAGAAAATACTGCCTTACATTTTATTAGTGTCTGATCAATGATTTGCAAAACAGCAAAACAACAAAACAAAAATATTTAGACATTGTAAATGCAAAACCTGTCAACTCACTATTAAACTATGAAGGCCAATTGGGTTTCACCAATTGTCTTCACTTTATTGTGCTGAAAATTTTAGAGAGAAAATAAGGGCACAGAGGTAAGGAGCACTGTAAAAATGGAGGAAGCTTACTTTACCTCTAAACCCACAGCTGCATTTATACTAGAGGAAAGAGTATATAATAGTGTAATGTCAATCAATTTACCCTTGACCAGCCTCCTAATTAACAACAATTAATCAACTACAATGAGTATTCCTATTAATCACCCCTGAAATGGGTCAACTCTTTCTTAACTCACTACTTTCCTAAATAGTTCCCCACATTCTTGACATATTGCAAGAAGGTTTTATCAAAATCAACCATGTACAAAATCAAAAGATATCTTTCTCTTCATACAAGATTTCAGGCAAGATTCAAGAGTTCTTCAAGCTTCTCTACCATCTGGATATTGAAAGAAACAAGTTTTAATTTCCATAACCACTAATTAACTCACCCTTTGACCTCATTTGAAGACGTAGAATGTTTATTCCCAAAAATCACAGACTTTGTAGCTATAACAAGCATAGGATGCTCCTGAAGAAGTTTTTTAATATCTTGAACTACAGCTTCTGACACACTCTGAAGGAAAAGTTTTTGCCTGCATCACATATAACATCTGCAAGTTAAAACCAACATATATCTGAACCAATGATACAGATAGGTGCTATTCTTAAGAGAACCTCCTGTCAATATTCTCCATTCCTCTTGCTTTTTGTCTAAGTTTTCACTCTTTCTTGAAAAAGCTAAACAGGGACAAATTAATCCTGATAATTCTGAATATAAATTGATCCTCTGAGAATTCTGAAACACAGGGCAAAAAGACACATGCCATCCACTAGAAAATATCAACATATGTATTACTTACCTGTTGTTTTCTCTTAGAGACAAGAACATTGATGCACGATCCACCCAATGAAAAGCTCCAATGCTGTAAAATACAGTTTGACTGGTCAAAGTTATCAGATCAAGTCTTCGCATAATTAATTCTGAGTCAGTGTTATCATAATAAAAAATGCAGCAGTAATCCAAGTAAAAGTTGGATAAAGACAGATTGAAGGCTTGAAAGAATACTAAAGTTATAATATATTATGCTTTGCGATATGTTTCTTTGGAATCATCGTGGTTCTGGTATAAAAATCTGATCCAAGGTTTATTATTATTGATTTATAGGATCTTAACAAGAGAATTCCTATCAATTATAATCATAAAGAAGACAGCAGAAAAGTCGAATGACACACACAAATTAAAAAAAAAAAAAATACAGATGAAACAACATCAAGTAAAATGATAAAGGCCAAAAGAGCTCGAAGCAAGAGGATAAGAAAGGCAAGCTCAAAGATAAAAGGAAAATATTGTCAACTAATAAATCTTCACTCAGTCTCAACATTACGTTTTATCTTTGCTTTTCAATATTGTTCCCTGATTATCAAATTTCAAGTTGACTACGAAACAGTATCATCAAGAACAGAACAGATCATAAAAGAAAATTGACAATAAAAGTAACTTTATATAAAATAACAGTTTTCTTAGAACATCTGATACCATCATCTTGAGAGGGAGTCTTGATAGCTGACTTCATTCCTATGATAATCTAGAAAAGTGAAAATTCCAAAAGAGTGGCGATGATTGTAAACGGTAGACAGACAATAAACCCCTATTTCACCTCAAGTAAATTATTTTATTGAAAATTAAAATCAAATTAATCAACAAATTTCCATTTACGCCTACAGTTTACTTTTAGCATTATATGTAAATAGTTTTCTGGAAGCTATGAAATGACTGCATCATTCACCATAAAAAGTATGCACAATGTCCCCGCTTGTTAAACCAGTAGTTATTTATATAGAGGGCATTCCAATCTATCGATGGAAAACATGGAATGGAAAACATGGAATGGAAAAAGACTTTATGGTTCACAGTAAGATGATCCAACTGGTAAAAATATAAAGATCACACCTGAACCATTTTTATTTTTGGTATAAAGCCACACATAAACGTTAGCAAATTAGAAACATGACACATAAACAAGACCAGAGTTATTTCATAGAATTATATCAAAGTATAAAGTTAATCATTCTCAACCACCCAAGACTGCTAATTTTACCCAACCACTCTTCTGCCGTAGCAAGCTGTAAATAAATTTCTTTTTCAACAAAAAGCAAGAAAAAATGAACCTGTCAATCATGAGCAGGTGAACACTAACCCCATGAACTTCTTTCTCCTTTTTTAAGCGATAGTGTAACGTCTGTGGCAGAAAAAAAGGACTAAGATACATAAACAGGAGAAAAAAATAAAATAAACACTGATACTCCAGCACATGCAATATTTTTAGTCACTAATGATTATGGGACTCGTTTTACTTGAGAGAGAAACCTTAAATCTCTGAATATAATTCAGTGTCTAGCACTGTACATATAGGTCCTAGTTATATTAGAATACAAAGAAGTACAAGTAGCGTAGTGCAATAATACTAACACAGCACAAATATATACAAAAAATAACAACGTAATCAGGCTTTGTCCAATAGCATGACATTTGGTATTCAAAATGGAGTATTTTAATCTGCAAAAACAATTGCTTGACAGAATCAATATTTGATTTCATATTTGAAAGTTGGAATAAAAGATTGAAGCTAGAGGTGACCCTTTTACCTTAAGAGTCTGAAGAAATTGAAAACTGTCGGAACAACGTACATACAAAAAGCGAGCCATGCAGAAATTATATAATGTAGTATCATAATCTCCACTAGCTTCCACTGTTCCATCAGAGAGAAATAGATAGGAATATAAATATGAGGATGAATTAGAATTAGAGAGGAAGGGATGAAGGAAAGGAAAGTGGTTAGGTTACCCATAATCCGATGAATGAGCATTTGGGAAAAACGCATAATATCAAAGCGACAATCGAGGTCAATAAAGAGTACCAAATGGTCGAAGCCTCCATAGTGTACCCCATTCCACTCTTTGGGGAGAATGCAACTGATTGCAGCCTAGATTTTAACATGAATTGTGAATTTTGTTGTGATGAAGCAAATTGAATATGAATTTGAATTTGAAAATGAAGACCTGAATGAGAATGTGTGTTTTGGCAGAAGGAGAGGGACCCACAAGCTCAAGGACATTGCCGACGCGTAGAGGAACCTTGTGGAGCGGTGGAGGAAGCAAGAAAGGTCGCACACTCGAGACCCTAAGTAGCATCTCCGCCGCAGTTTCATCTCCGGCGATCCACCTTTCAACTTCTTCTCTCTCTTTCTTATTCATTTCTTCTCAAAATCTCAATTCTCATGTTTTTCTTTCCCCTTTTTACACACATCTCTTCCCGCGCAATCCCATCTAAACCAACCCATCACATTCCCCTCGTTGGTTTTTTTTTTTTTTAAATATTCCAACGCATGAGATAGTGCTAGGGAGATTTGAACACATGCTCTCATCCCATCTGTTTAGCTCTCATGCGTCAATTGAGCTACCACCATTTTCTCATCCCCTCCTGCCTCATGCGTCAATTGAGGCACCACCATTTGGTATTCCTAGTTGTTTTGGGTTAAAAATGCAATAAAAGGCCGTTATATTTATGGGAAAAATATTTATCCAGCCACCGGAGATAAATTTATCTCAGTGAGTTCAAATCGACGTCGTTTTGAGTTATAAGATTAAAAAATTATAATGACAATGACTAATATAACTCTGCAATATGTTATAATTACAAAAACACCTTGATTTCCTGCTTCAAAACGACGTCGTTTTGAGCTTACTGGAGATAACTTTATCTCCGATGACTAGAGAAATCATTTACCCTATATTTACTACCTATTTCTTCTTAGGAAAGAGTATTTCTCCGGTCATCGGAGATAAAATTATCTTCAGTGAACTCAAAACGATGTCGTTTTGGGTTATAAAATTAAAAAACTTTAATGATAAAGACTAATATAACCCTGCAATATATTATAATTACAAAAACACCTTGATTTTTGCCCAAAACAACGTCGTTTTGAGTTCACTGGAGTCTGGAGATAACTTTATCTTCGGTTACTCGAGAAATCCTTTATCCTTTTTCTTATTATTGTTGATTTCTGTCAATTTAATAGTTGTAATTTATGGGATCATATTTATTAATTAATTATTAATTTATAATAAAATATAATTGTTAGATTGACGAAAATTAACAATTAAAATTTGAGGATAAGATATAATAATAAAAAAAAAAAGAGTAGTAACCTCCTTTCCCGATAAACAAAGGATTAATGTTTGATAATATTTGTTGGTAGCGTTATACACAGAGTAAAGCTCTGCTTTGTTTTTTGGTAGTCACTAGTCCCTAAGAAAAAATGAAGGAAGCTAAATGGGTCCACGTTGTGGCTTTGTGACATCGAAAATGAAAGAACTATTTAGACGTTTCACGTTTAAGCATGTGATAATTATTTCTAACGGTCCACAGTGCGCATGGAAAAAGGAAAAGCGTGAGTGGCATTGAAAATGAGCTACTGTTATTTCATTTTCAAGGCTAAGTAAATAGTTAAAAGTAAAAGATGCTTTGATTAACGGGCGCTCATTAGATCAATTTCATTTTCAGGATATATATATATATATATATATATATATAGGGTTTAATAAGAGTTATGTTGTAGGAAAAGTGATTCTGTTATGTTATAGAGATTCGTTTTGCGTGCCAGAGTTTTTTTTTTTTTTTGGTTTCAAAAATTGTGGGTCCCACAAAATGTTTTGTGTGTAGGAAAATTGTTGTGGTGATGTTAAATTATAGATACAAAACCCATATATATATATATATATATATATAAAGTTGTACTCAAATTCTTCCATAAAACAATTCAAGTCATATTTTTCCTTCATCGCTGTTTTGTCAACCGAGTAAAGTAGAAAGCATGGCGTCAAATGAAAAAGATGACAAAGTTCCCCTGAAAATTTTGGTGGACAAAGAGAAAAACAAAGTTGTATTTGCCGAGGCAGGGAAGGATTTTGTTGACGCTTTGTTGAGCTTCTTGACATTACCGATTGGGACTGTTGTTAGACTCGTCGGAAAGGAGTCAAGTATTCATTCAGTGAGAGTTGGAAGTCTCAGCACATTGTATGAGAGTGTGGCAAATCTTGAAGAGAAACATCTATGGACACCGAAATGCAAAGAAATGCTATTGCAGCCACGGAACTCAATGCAACCTCATTGCCGACGGCTGAAATTGAACATCGACGAGACGGAACCTCTCAAGTACTTCATTTGTGAGAACTGGGATTGTACTAGAAAGAATATTGTGAGCTTATTGAGCACTTTCAGGGATCAAAGATGCAAATGTGGAAAACTAATGAACAGAATAATATCCCCAAAAAATTTGACTCCAGAAAAAAATGGCTTTGTTAAGGAAAGTGCTACTTTTTTCATATGTGACGATCTTTATGTGTTGCCTAATGTTGTTGGAACAATAGGACTGCTTCATAAGCATGGTATCGATAACATGGAGGCTCTTGATGAACAAACTGTATATATCAGCAAGGAGGAGGTATATATGTTTTCTCAGCTTGTATATATATCATCGTTTATTTGTAGATAACCACTTCAACCCAAAATTTTACGGTGAAAGTTTTTGTAATAGTTTATATTATTTTCTAAGACACCTCCTCACGTTAGGCTCAATTTTTTATTTACTTTATACTTATTTAATTTCACAAGTAGGGGTGATGAGGATACCTTGTGCTCAAAGAAGAAGCTCTATACAATATAAAAAATCACTTCAACCTAAAATCTTAAGGTGTTGGGTGAAGGTGATTTATATTATTCTCTAACATCATTGTCGTTGATTACTATTTAGGAAAAAGTTCACCAATGCATTCCAGACTTACTTATGATTCTGTGATTTTTTTTATCACATATGCCTTTATAGTTTGCAAAAGGGTATGTTTTTTATCACATATGTTCATGTGATTTTTTATTTTTTACAAATCACATGTGCATTTGTCATAAGAAAAAAACATAGAGATTCCTTGGTAAACTTTTGGCTACTATTTATTTTGTCTAATTAGTAGGTCATATTTGATTTATGTAGGTAGTGGATCTGCTCAAGTTTGCATTGATCTCAAATACCCCTATGACAGATTTTATCTTGAAGAAGAAACAATCCCTTGATAATTTTAACCGAGGAAACCAATCCCAGTTTAAGATTGGGGAGATCCCATCTGATGAGGGTAGGAAAATGGTTGTGAAATTAGTGGTAAGAAAATCAAACAGCAAGATTCTGTTTGCTGAAGGAGAGGAAGATTTTGCTGACTTTCTTTTTGGTTTTCTCACCTTCCCCTTGGGAGGAGTGTTACACATGCTCCAAGGAGTCTCTTCTTTGAGTTGCTTTGATAAATTATATAAAAGTATGACTGAATTGAGTTCAGAAAGATATTTCAGTTCACAGGGACTCAAAGACAAACTAGTCAACCCTCAGTGTGCCCCGCAATTTAAGCCCACCAACCACATATTACCAGTTACCGAGGCATGCTTGCCTGGGTATTATTGCTTTTGTTACTTCAAGGAGACAATGAAACATGGGGGGCCCAATATTTATGATGGGTTTCTTGTAACTTCACCCTACACTGGTTGTTATTCTAATGTCGATGTGAATGTACCCTTAAATTATGTTGATCCTAAGTCCTCTACCAGAGAATCATCAAGTAGTGGAGGATTTGCCAAAGGACCAACAACGTACATGGTGACAGATGACTTGGTTGTGACTCCAAAGTCATCCACTTCTGTTTTTTCATATCTAAATAGATCAAAAGTCTCACTCTCTGATGTGGAGGAAAGGGTCATCAGCATTGGTCTGAAGGAGGTAAGGAAGTGTGTGAGACTTCTTTTAGCTTTAGCTTACTCATTCATTGGATACTACTGTTACTTGTATGAAATTACATCTATCTTATTGTTTGCATTATTGTGCAGGGTCTCGGCATACTAAAAGCTTCTTTGAATTCAACATCTGCTTTGACAAACGGTCTCAACCAATTTCTAAACACCGTTAAGGAGGAGAATTGAACCAGTTTTCCATTTTGTCTGAAATTATAGAAATCGTGGATGTTGAAAAATACGTATTTACTTCCCTAGTTGTTCTAATGTGATGCTTGTGATTAATTGATGCACACTATTTCATCAAATTTTGTGTTTCATGTTAAATGTTCTTAATGAGAAGTGGTTTCTTTTCTTTATCAATATTTTTCTTTTCTTAATTGGGTAAGCATTCTCTCTCGTAAGTACTAAACAAGCCACACCACTAGGTTGCTGAGTGCAGTCCAAGTTCTCACATATGAAGTACCTTGTTTTCTCTGTGTCATCAATATTAATAGTTTGGCAATAGCTTTCCATTGAATTCCTTGGCTGAAGCAACGTATCTGCCCAAAAGGCCGGTTATACTTATTATTATTATCATTTTAGGCTTATCACATTTGCTACTTAATTGGTTATGCTTGGATCAAATTAAAATCAAAGGTTGAAAAAGAGAAAAAAAAAAATTAACTGCTATTGATTTCAAATTAATCCAAGGAAGAGTGGTAACATTCTACATATATTGATTTTAAGGTTTCTTCATGCATAGTGTGATGGATTTAGGTTTGTTTCTCTCGATTATAATATTTCTTATAACAGCGATCAAATGAGACTAAATGCAATGAACCAGACTGGAGCTAAGAATCAAATGGAGAATAGTGAATGTGTCAAAGGAGCCCCTCCAATAAAGGAAAATAGTCTTTATAAGTGGAGAAGATTTGAGTCATAATCATTTCAGCCCTCGTGGGATCTACTAGATGTGAGGCAATTATCCTCACCTAACGATAAGGTGCATATGCAGAGCAGGGAGATCAAATATAATAAGGAAACTTTTAATGGGTGTGAAGGCGCGTAACCCCTTCAACGATGGATTAAGCCTGTGAACACAAAGTTATAGTTCTATAATAATTATATATAGTTAGGATTATATTAAATACAATTTTACATTTATGTTCAAAATAAATAAAATTTTCATTTTAAATTATATAATCTTTCACAAAATAAAGGAAAATATGAAACAAATTAATAAATTCATGCAACCATGGTGACTGGAGATTAAAAATAATAATTATCTTCACATTTATTCATATCTGAGATATTCATTTTGAAACTTTTCTATTTATTAATTTAATCTCTTCTAAAATTTATCAATTTCATTATAAATTATTTTATAATATAACTATAGGGAAATAATTTTCTTATATTATAAAAAAAGAATTATCTCATGTAATAGAAATAAAATTACAACTGTGACCCACAAGTAAGAAGAGGGCAAGAGAAAATAGGTGGGACTCAACTCTCTTTTGTGTGTGCATGAAATTTATTTTTCTTACGTAACATAAAAGAAATACAATCCATAATTATAATAAGGTTTTAATGTTTTTATAGTTAATGTAGATCAATTATCTACATTTATTTTTATAATGACGTTATTTTGGATGAAAAATTAAATAAAATATAATAAAAAAATTATTATAACTCTTGAAATAAATTATAATTATAAAAATATTTTAATTTCTGACCAAAAAAAATAACAATATAGTGATTCGAGAAAAATGAATTTGTATAGTAAAATAATATAATAATTATAAAAAATTCTGATAACTGATTATAAAGATGGTACACGTGCGGTGAAGTTCGGAGATGTGCCTGACAAGTGTTTTTGGTGTGGTGAGATAGCACTGCGTAAGAAGCCTTACGGTTTGCACGTGGCAGCATGTGGTTGGGACAAAAAACACGTACAAGCAGAACGTGAGGCTGTTATTGCCTTAATTTCATAGAAACCTTTAATATCCACAATTAGCTTAGGGGTGATTTCTCTGAACCATTCTCTGCCCTCTGTCTTTAACACATAGTACCAGGTTTCCTCTCCAGTCTCTACTATACTAAACCTTTCACCCATCCTTCGTTACTTATATTTCTCTTTTATGTACAGTTACTTTAGCTTGGCCTTATTTATTTATATTGCTATAGTTTTATTCCTTTCTATTGAAAATTTAGTATTGGCTTATAAATCAACTTGTACAACAACAAAAATTTCTGTTTTCCTTTCATTTCTCTTCTTTGGTTTTCTCAGTCTTGAAGTAGAATCAGGGAAGAGCATAAGATGACCTCTTTGATAGACTTTTTTCATGCATGGACTAGGATGGTTACTTAACTCAATTCCTGTTTATATACGTTAAGCAATTTGTAAAATTGTAAATGATCAGAGTAATAGTTAACTCAATATTATTATCCATTGCTTTTTGTTTCTATAATGGTTTATTTGTCTTATAAAATTATGTACTTGCTTCGTGATATCCATGATCTACTTTTCAAATGCCCATTTTGTCTTTTATCCAAAAAAAATAAAAAATTGTCTTTCTTGGGTTGAGTACTAGTATTTCTGTTTTTTTGGTTGTTGACAATGTTTCGTTTGCATTTTGAATGACACTGAGTGCAGGATACAATGAACATTATGTCCACCCACCAGTGTAGTTGGCCCCTGAAAATTCAGGATCATACTGACAAAGGAAGTATAATAAATAAGGCTCCATTTTCAGGGTATCCTGGGACTTATTCTGGAGGATTAGACTTCCTTAATGTTGGATACCTTGCTCATAAATGTCGCCATAGTGCCAGGAAATGTAGGCCTATCTTTTCCACTGCAGTGAGTGACAGTATGGATCCTTATGACTCGGATGACAATGATAAGAACAAATCTCAGAATGGTGAAATCAATGACGTATGTTGACTTCTCAGTTTCCCTTTTCTGTGCATGTAGTTCATTGCATTGTAAAATACCTCACCATGTATTTCTTAATTTTGTTAGGGGTGTGTTTGGTACAAGAGAAAAAAATTTATATTCGGGAATCACGATTACTGGGAATACAATAGAAATTGAGTTTACCCGGAATGTTACAAAAAAGATGTTTGGTTCGACAAAATATTACCGGGAATATTGGATAAAGATTACTGATTCCATTTTTGGTTTAGAACGAAATATGACTTGGAATATGAGGTTATTTTACAAAAATAATCCCAGACTATTTTTACTTTTGTAATTGATAGATTGGGTCTAGATTTTGATGTGTGTTGGGGTATTTTTGTCTCAAAAATTGTTGTTGTGCTTTCCCTTTACTTGGAGTTCTGAATTACCATATCATTTTTGGTAATCTGAATAGTGACTTTTCTTTATAAATCAAATTACTGGTAATTAAGGATATCCGGGAACTGGATTTTGTTTACTTCTACCAAACATGGCAATTTACGTTTTCCAAAGAAGGTTTATCAGTAATCTTTCAAATAACCTTGTACCAAACACACCCTAGGAGTACGTCAACTAGCTAATATCTGTGCACTTGAAGCAGATGTTAGCTATTCTTTTAATTATTCGTTCCCCTTCCTGTGATAAACCGGTTGGATATGAAATCCTTGTTTTAATAGTTTGCAAAATTTTAGAGATACTCTTTTCTATCCATTTTAAAATTGGCAACTGTTTTGACTTATTAATTCTTATATTTCTCACTCTATTTCCTTGTTTTAGTTTTCTTTAAGTAACCTTGACACGATGGTTGGTATTGTCGCATGTGACCTGGATGTCACTGGTTCCATTCTTGTAATCAGCCCCTTGCAAATGTAAGGTAAGGTTGCCTACTATATATATAGACCCTTTCATGGATCTTGCACAAAGCGTGGGAGCTTTATAGCTCTAGGTTGCCCTTTTTATGTAATATTGTTGAATATTCAAGCAAAATCCATCTCGCTTCCTTAATTGTATGTTTTGATCAATTTGCATTTATGTTGAAGTTCTTTTCCAATGGATTGTATGCAGTCTCTCCATCCTAAGAATAATATATTGAGTATTGACTTTCCATTGCTGTGCACACCTCTGAACCTGGCTTATGTGTATCAGGTGAATAGTGAAATGCTTAGAGAGTCTCTCGAGAAAATAGTTGGTACAGATGATTCCACGTTTAATGGATTTGACCTTGCCACTCTTATTAGGAACAAATATGGGAAGTCTTATGATGTTCAGTTGATAAAGAAGGTAAGTTTTTGACAAGTGGAATTACATGAGAGATTAATTTATCCTGAGTTTCGCATGACATATTTAGCCTATTTAATATCAGTCATTTTTCTTCCAAACTATAGTTATTGAGCAATAAGGGGGAGTTATCAAGCAATTCATTGTAAATTGTACATTGTTGTTTATTCTGGCATAGAATTGTCAATAATAAAATTTCATTCTTTAGCTGATATATCTTCTTGTCAACTGTATCTGGATTGCATTTGTTGATCAGGCATATACTTTGATACACTGGAACTTACATGCTCTAGTTCATAAACATCTGCAAATGGTGATCAAGTCGCCAGTGCACATTTGTTAACTAATAAACATACGCTTTTACTGTGATGTTATTGAAATTATTCGCTGCACCCATAATAATGTTTCCCTCTTCTATTTTATTTTTTCCACTTCCTTCAGGGTGGGAAGGGAAAGGAAATTATATTAAAGGGGGTCTTTAAAAGAGTTGCATACGCATCGCTGCCATTGTTGGCCTAATATTTTTAAAAGTTCATGGCATCTTTGCTCTTGAATATTGCTGCATTATCCGTTTCCTTGAATATAACTTCATATGGGTATGATGTTTGTTTCTCTTTTCCATCAACATTTTACTTACGAAGGCCTTGAGCATTATATCAGCTCCTTGGAGTGTTTGATTCTTTGAAATTGGATAATTTGTTGAATTGGCACATTTAAGATGCAGTTGAATTTTATACATTCCTAGGACCTGAAATAGGAATCTCTATTATCTATGTTTCTCCTTTTGGTTATGTTGCCTTTCCTTATGTTACTGTTCATGATTTGTGATAGGAATTCATGGGAAGAAATCTCCTTGCTATGAATGTCATGTGGAAGTACATGGAGCAGGTATTAAAACTTTTGTGCTTTGTGTATAAGATACATGATTTAAGTAGATTCATGTGCAATTTATCAGGCATAAAAAAAGAAAAAAAGAAAGGAAAATACTAGATACACTATTTTTTGTCAGAATTTTTGTCATAATGAGTTAGTATTGTTATTGACTATTGGATGAACGAATGGTCACCGCCACTTTCACTTTTCCAATAACCACCCTTTACAAATTCTAACCGAATTCTGTCAAACTGGCTCTGTAGCATTAATCAAAATGAAACAGCACTTATGGCTTCGGTCAATTTAGAAAGGGAGAAACAGAATAAAGCAAAAGGCAAAAGGTCCATTTGGTTCCATTTCACAAATTGTATTGGTATAAAGTGGTTTTAAGTCCCTAAGCCATGTATTTAGTTGTACTTTCAAGCACGTAGTTATTAAATGCTTCTAGTACCACTATGGAATTGCTTGTATACATTGAGATTATCCATGTAATCCTATTTCATTATGTCCAATGATTTTTTGCTATTAGAGATCCTTCCCATTGACTGAAGAAGAGTATATTTTGAGGCTTGATGATGTTGCAAACACATTAAAATGTTGGGGAGCTGTCTCACATATTCGGAACAGCCTAGAAAAATCAAAAGAACGACCTCGGATAGGGAAGGTAAAATTACGCCCTTCTGTCATATCTCACATGTACGATTATCTAGTTGCTGTCTTTGAACTTTCAAGTTTAGTTACTTGGTCAGTACTTCATTTTCAATTTAGGATGTATATTCAAATATTGAGAAGGATCCGTTTATAAACTTTTTTTTTTACAAACTTACAACTACACTATGTATGACCGGTAATACTCTACTCAAGAGTATTACCCGTCAGACATAGTGTAGTTTGTAAATATAACATTTCTCTTCAAATATAACTTGAAGATATTTCTTTTTTGGATAATATATATATCTTAGAGAAGACAGAAGACACAAATAAGAAACACACAGTAAAAGAAAGTATGCTTAATGTGAAGTAGCTATCCAAAATAAGAGTCAACCTAGAAATGAAATGAAATGAAATGAATGGGATGAAATGAAATGAAGTAATATGAACCCGAGGGTTGAATCAAGTGGCAATATGAGCCTTGAATCAAGTGGCAATATGAGCGTTGAGATGGACGAACTCTTAAAAGAACAGGGTTCGAATTTTGGATAAGATCTTTGGGGCTAGGACTGGGATTAGTCCAATATCTGTACAAGCCTCTTTTCCCACTCGGATCATGGGGATATATGGGGACCTCACTCATCCCAAGGAGGTTATTAGGGTCATGAGATAAAAAAAATGAAGTGATATGGAATAGAACAAAATTATTATGGTATTATTATCGAAAAGAGTGAAGCTTTCATTCCATTGTTTGAGAAAGTGGACAAAATGGTGAGATTTAAGTTTCCATTCCATTGTTTGAGAGAATAGCAACATGTAGAGAGTTATAATTTTTTTATTATTATATAGAGTAATTCCATTCTATACATTGAAATTGAGAGAAAGAAAATTCCAGTCCATCCCTTTCAATCAATTCAAAGATAGCCATAAAGAAAGAAAACTCTTCAAAGGGAAAAAACAATGGCCTCTGGACATTCTTTCTTATTAATTTCTTGTTATTTGCTGCAGGCCGTAAGCATTTTCATAGATATGGATGAGTCTGGTGCTCGTGCAAATGAGTGGATCTACAGATAGATTGCATTGATGTGTTGAAATTCATCTCTAGACACTAAATTCAAGATTATAATGAGAGAGAAGTCCATAGCTAGCAGGACCACCACTTTTTTTTTTCTGAACTTGGTTAGTTTGAATTTTATTACACTTGGATCTTAACAATATCTACATAGTCTTTCTAACGTTTCTGTTGGCATCAGGTCAAGGGAACATAATATTTTTGGTTCTTCCCTTCTTTTTTTCATTTGAAGTTTACAGTATTGATGTAAAGTGAGTTAATATAAGAAAAGAATCCACATTAAAAATTACTAGTAAACTTCTCTTCAATTTAGAATAGATGTTAATGGTTGTGTTGTTATGGTATGGGCGTGCCCATTCTTCTCCTCTGCAATTGCAAGTATGAATATTTCCCGTTGACGGTGTAACTAGGGACTAATACAAGAAAAACAAGTATTATGTGGTAAAAATAAGTATTAAATAAATAGTCATTTAAGATGATTGAGGTATTATTCTATACCTCAAAAATGAGGATTAAACAAATTCTCATTGAAGATTATTTATTTTTTAAACGCGAAATTTTAAGAATATCTTTTTAAACATCTAAAGTAATTTGTTTTTTCAGGTTACTTAATTATTCATCTCATTGTTTATTTATTTGCATATCTTGAAAGGTATTGGTAAAAGTTGTGAAATTTTCATAGCAAAAAATAATGATATGAAAGCTAATATTTTGAGAGATTTTGTCAAATAAATTATCCTTTTATTACAAAAGAAACAATATAGTAACTTTTGCACTTTATGTATTTAAAAAACATAAAAGTGTATTGGGTATTGGGTTTATACTTTTCTTTTTTATATATTCTAAATTCGAAATTATTTCATTTCTTATGTATTGAATGGACAAGTATAACTCATAATTTGGTTATGTTAATAAAACTGTATTGAGCTTAGATAATAAATAACGCTCAATGACAGGATGATACAAGTTTTGGTTGTATGGCTTGTAGTTTAATTTGCTCCGCTCAAGTGTTTAACAACTTAAAATGATGATGTTTGAGATCTTAATTTTCACTGGCACTCGTAACCCCCTCTCATCCTAGTGTTTGTCTAAAGTACATAATCCTTAAAAAATATAAAAGAACATATAGAAAGGAAGAAATTAGGTAATGAGTGATGATACGGATAGCACTTTAGGGCCTCTAGTTCAGAAGGTACCAATGCGGGTGTTCTCTGATCTACTTTAACTTCAATTCAGTATTTCCAGATTGCAGGTTACAAATGTAAAAGCATAGAGGTCAGAAGCAACACATTCTACTAGAAACTGCATTATGGCAAAAATAAAATAATAATAACAATAAAATTTATGATCCGTTTCAGTAATTGCAAACTACAATTTACAAGCAATCTAATCCATCTGTGTCTGTTTTCTTTACAATAAATATAAGCCGACCTAGCATTATAGTATCTAACAAATAACCTCGTTGATACATTAATAAGTACAAACCTCTATCACATACTTGCTGTAAGGAGCCGGACCAGTCAACTTAATTCTTTACAATCAAAAATCAAGACTACAAAAGTTTCCTTTTTCTCGTCGTAGAAAAATGAAATAAGGAGAACCTAGAATTCATATATTTTAAGAGCTGCTAGTTTGCATTGGCTGTGAGGGGCACTGGTCCTCCATGGCTGATGAATTTAAGAGCTTCCTAAGAGAACGGTACTGCAGGCGGACATTCTCTCCAGTTCCAATAATCTTGAGCAAATACCTGTACAAAAGTAAGCTCGACAGTAAATGAGATTTTCACTTATTCGGTTATAACTAATCAAAATTGATTATAATATATGTAGCTGTATTCCAAAGAATGTACAAAAAGTATGATAAGAAACATTTTTTTTATAAATTAAGCATGTAGAATGTGTATCAATAAAAAACCATTATAAAAATACCAAACCCACCTACAACCCCCAAAAATATCCCACACTACTCATTATTCATAATATATCAAGAGACTAAATACAAATTTAACAAGTTGATTCTTGATAACTCACCAGCCATTGAGACACTGAGACGTAATGACAGCTTCTTTCCCAACAAATTTTTCTGGTGTTCTCCTGTTACCCTGTAGAAATTGTTAGTCCATAAATCCCCCAACCATCTGACAGTAATGGCCAAAAGTTGAAAAACGTAAAACTGAACATTTTTACCTTAATTATAACTTTCTCATTTACCGAAAATGGATATTGTACTCCCCGCTGGATTCCATCAGCACCAGCAAAATCTCCATTTTCCTGAAACATTTAGTGCTAATAATACCCATAAATTTTTCTCCTGGTAACTAATTACAGTCTAGAACATTCGGTTTAGTCAGAAAGCATATCCCAGTTTATTAATGTTTATACGCAACACTACTGGTTTGCTATTCACGCCAACACGTCAATCTCTTCAAAATCTACACATACTTCATGGAGGGGGGTCAGTTTGTTTCGTGGGTTTGTGGAAGTCAATTTATCATATTTTAAAATCTAGAGGTACAATAATAGCAATAACTCATATGAAGCACATGTCCTTACTACTATTTCCGTACTTCAAAAAAAAAATTACTATTGCTGGGAGAGGTGTTCAACTGAAGATACAGACAAAGACAGTTCACCATCACCACTCCACCACACATGGAAAGACAACTAAGAGAGAAGCTACTGATTTACAATAGGAACCCCAAGCCAATAATCTGAAATAATATTTATGAAATTATGATACTTCCATGAAAAGGAAAAAAGAACATACTTGTAGTATAAAGAAATTAATTATGAATAAAAATTTTAGCTGAATACACCTACACTAAGGCCAGATTGAACCCTGGAATATGAGCAAGGCGAAGGAGATTAGAAAGTCATTCATGGTACAGACCTGCTGCAATTCTTCATAGACCAAGTAAAATTGAAAGGCTTAAATTGTAAAAGTGTCTCATGCCCATATAAAGCTCATTCACTACCTTCCTTGCATTCTTAGGTTACACAAATAATAAAAATCAAATGAACCAACTACACAATAAAGGAACCCAAAAATGCACAAGCACAAACACAAGTGCATATATTCTCTTAAAGATGATAAGAAAGTTTTGGGTTCCTATTGTCCTAAATTTTCTGAGTCTGAAAGTCCTTCTCATGGTTATTTATAACTTCTCAAGTTCATCATCGAGGTCCTATATACAAGTTCAAAAAGATACTGAAGTCCATAAAAACAGATCCAGATTGCAATCATTTTGACTGAATATAAAATAAATTCCTCGATTTTAATTCTTGCCCATAAATCCCAATCTGTTACTGTTGTATGCATACTCTTCAAGGAGTTTTATTTTTTTTACAAAACACAATTAAAATTCAACTGCCCAAAAAATTTCCTAAATAGGAATAATTAATATAATCATTCATCAAATATATAGTCAAACATCATAGTATATATTCATGCTGTGGGCAACTTCCAGGCATATTAGGGAAAAAATTTCCATCAATAGGAATAAAGGGTACGCAAACAAGCAATATCTGCACTACAATTGCACCATCCAATCCGTAGTATTCAATATCAAATCAAATATTAAGAACCTCAGTAAAATAAAGCGTAATAAGTAATAACATTTGAATCTCGACTCCATAATTCCTCAAAAAAGTAAATAGACCATGGCAAATTTCTTTTACCAAGTGCAACTAACAAAAGTTGGGTAACATTTTCACAAACAAGACAGGATGAAGTCCATTTCTGCAACATTCTAGGTAAATCATATTATTCACATTTGACTTTAGATGTCATGCTATCTATTTATCATTATTTAAATAATCTATTAGTAAAAAATAAAAATCCACAAAAAATGTTTACTGTTGCACATTGAACGTATAATTTGACATCTTTGATTTGAACTCCTAAGAGAAAAAGATGTTTTCTATGCTAATATTTTGATTCAAAAGGCAAAAGAATAACTGGCTATTTATATTATATACCCTGTTCACTCTTCTCATTGAATCCATCTGGTCACCCATTTCTTTCCGCCGCTTTCGGAGAGCAGCATTACGAAATAACCTTCGATCATCCTCATGCTTTACAGCAGCAGCTGCAGCTCTAAGAGCTGAAAATGAAATCAATCAGGCTATGTAACAAAATAAATAAATAAAAGAAACAAGGAACCAAATGCATCGGAAAGATAATGACATGACCAGAAATAACGGTATATAATCTGTGTGTTCAGGTGAAGATGGCAGAAACAAAGTAAAACTACTAAGGAAAAGGAAGATACCAAGATTAGGGATCAGAGGACCAGTCTCAATATCTGAATTGCAGAGAGTACATCTTGACTGCGACAGAAACAATAACTGTAACTATGATTCTTGTCTCTCCATATCTAACAGTTATGATTCCATAATGAAAGTGAAAGGAAATAGAAATGAGAAAACACATACAACCAAAATAAGAATCCAAATGCCCGGAGGGTACAAAGACCAAGAAAATACAACCTTAAACCAGGTATAATTGGATACCGAATTTAATTGTACAATTGAAGGCATTAACTACCTTAAAGCCATTTATATTTTGTTAAAAAATAAATGTCACCATTCAGAAGGCCAACGTAATATTTTATCTGCTTAACTAAGTAATCTCCATACTAACTGTATGTGACTAGACCAATAACATTTGTTAAGGATTCTACAACGTTATCAGGCTTCAGCTCCATAACTTCCACAACTCCATGAAGTTTCATACATTTTTAAATCTAAATATCCAGTATTGAACCTTCGGTACATCAAATTCACAACGAGTGTTCACAATATTGTGGACAGCCCATCAAATCTAATTCTAAGCCAATCTTCCATTGCCCAAATTAAAGCCAATAAAAACCCTCTAAAGTCTACAGATTTCTTACCCTTATTCCGCATATAATCCTGAACCTAACTATCAAACATCCTATTTTACTGCAGCCACCAATCTTCCAGCACCCAGACAGCAATAGAAGTTTAGTATTTGAAATCTAGCAAGTCATATGTCCACCTATGGTTCAAACGCAAAACTGTCACTTTCATCAGTTGTGGGTATCATTTCTTAATGGAGAGGTGTAACCCATGTATGCTTAGAAGACTGAAATAGGAAAGAGTCCTACTTACTGTTTCGATGACTCTCCTCAGCATGAGACCACCAAAAGAATGTCCACATGAGACGAGCATGGCATCTTCAAGGAATGTGCCACTAGTAAATAGATTGAAAGAGGAAAAAAGAAAGAGGAACAGATATCAGAATAGTACATGCTAAAGGGCATATTTTTCTTTTCTGATCTTAATAAATGAAAGGGGCACAAGATGAACCAATACTTGAGTTAAAAAGAAAAACTCTAAATGTAAATAGAAAATATTAACAAAAAAAATGCCAATATTGTATTTAGACTTTAAAAGATTCATCAGTATCACCAGTTGATTACAAACAAGTGCCTTGAAAACCCAGTCTAATGTTCCAACTGTTCAGTTTTACTGAACAAAATGTCATCAAGAGCTTCAATATACATTAATATAACATACTATTTTAAAATGTTAAAGAATCCTTTTTCTTCTCCATATTACATTATAAAATTTTACTCATGGAGATCAATATATATTATTTAACTGGCTATTTTAATTCAGGCACCAGATAAATGCTATAAAAAATATTTGGTACAATCAGTACAGAGTCTAAAGGTATAAATGATAATAACAGCAACTCTCTTCACAGAATCATACATTCATCAACACTTGCATGGAGGAGTAACAACAAAACATGGACAGAGCAATGAATTAGTTAACCAAATGGCACTACACCATTTTTTTAAGGGATGTAATAAGAATATGGACAGAGCAAAGACATTAGTTTATCAACAAAAAGAAAAGCATCCATTGCATATGGATCAAAATAGATCAAGGAAATGAGCACAAAATAAAGTATTTCAGAATTATAAAAATTTCAAAACAGATAAAGGAACAACAAAAGTTTTGAGCACACTATGCTTTAATAGTATAGTGCAATTGAAGTATTGAACTATGAATAAACCAAGCAAGGATTAGCAGAATGTTTTATATGACTCCAGAAAAGTGGATTTATTAATCTTTAGCTTTTTAATCAACTCTTACAGAATCTTTAATTTTTTACGAGAAAACAAAGTTAAGATTATTTGAGACAGTTAACGACAAACCACATAGCATCCATAACATGCTTCTCTGAAAAACTAAATCAGTTGGAGAGTTAAAGCTAAACTACACTTACGACAACGGATCTGATAGAACGCTTCTTAATGATGGTTCTTTATTCACATTGTTTTGAGCAACCTGCGATTAAAAATGCATAACTTTCCTCATATGTTAAAGAAAAATATTTTCTTAAAATGGAAATTGTACTAGAAGTTTTGTAAGAAGAGCTATTGCACTAAATACAAGAGAGCTGTTATACATGACGGGAACAATAAGAAGGCCATTATGATCTTCTCAATAGCTGGCCTCAATGGCTAACCAGATCCTCCAATGCCAACAAGCTTACAGATAAAAAATACTACATATGTAAACTTTTACTTATAAATAAGTGAAATGAGAGAGCCATAAACAAATTAGTTTAAAAGATCAATTCAATCAGTGACACAGTACAGGACAATGGAAGCTAGATTACACTGTCTAAGCTTTCACTATTAGTTTGCATATAGTTTTAGCTTCAAAGTAGAACATTAGCAGTCAAATATGATCAATATCAACTGGTTCATGCACTCATCCTCAATATTCCACATTGTGTGTCTCAACGTGCAACTTTAAATGCAAAGCTGATCAGTTACATTAAATGATATTGATGTCTTTACTGGGACAAAAGGAGGTAGAATTTACAATAGAAAAGGAAGTACAAACATTGCTTATGATTAATTTTCCATTGATGGTTGTATTGTATCTACTTTACAATTGGAGATTTCACATTAAAAAGAATCCTGGTGACTTTGGTTGGAAAGGAACTCCTGTGTGGCTTTTGCAGCAGAGGAGTTACAGTTGGCAAGGACAAGGATGACAAGATTCTGAAGCAGTTTGCAGTTTTCCAGATCTCTGGAGTATTTGGTTGGGCAGAGAAGAATGCTCATATTTTCAAAGGTGCCTCTTTGCACTTACATTTGTTATGGGTTAGGATCTAATTTTTGTTTATCTAGTCAAGGTTGGTTTGAGGGGGCATCCATAACACATTCAAAGAGAACGTTGGGAGAGAAAACTTACGTCAGCACTATCGCATCTGTTGCCTATCAGCTCTTCAGCAGTAAGATCATCCATAAATTGGCTTACAGATATTGGAACATAGCTTTGGGGAATAGCATGGCCAGCTGCTGCAATTGGAGAACAATCTAATATAGCATTGCCCTGTGGCATGAGTCTATATGCAAGAGAAGTCCTACAATCACAAAGCTCAATAAGGTACCTAAATGAGTTCCTTGAAAGTCTTATCAGTCAACACAAATACAAGATAAAAAAATCATTCATTGGGGTTCATCTCATAAATATAGCTGTTTCAACACAAATACAAGATAATTTTAAAAAAAATTGGTACCTTCCTCCACTATTAGGGGTCAGAAAATAATCAGGAGAAGCTCTATATGATGCAGCAGGACGTAGGCCTGCAGTAGCATGGCTAAGCGCCTTGCCTGTTATCAATAGAAGATCTCCAGGCCCAGACCCACTGTCTGCCAGATACCAGCGGCCATTGGAATCACATACCTAGAGATGAGCACAGACTATTCATATGACTTGAATGATAAATCAATTGGAAAGTCTACAAGCTTTAAATACCATCAAACAAGAATCCCCCTAGAGGCTATAAAATATGTATTAGATGATGGTACACAATGTTATGAACTCGATGGGAACTATAGCTAATTGCTTTTACTTCATTGAACTAAAAAGCCCAATTGAACTCTCTACTTTTACAATTTACATAAAATAATTAAAAAAAACCTGAAGACCAGGAGTGTCAGAAGATATCAATGTCAACAGCCCCTTCTCAACTTCACCATTCATGGTAGGCTTACCACCTCCAATAGCACCTTTGCCATTTTGCAAAGAAGCATGTGAGTAAGTTACAACAAGAACCGATGAGGACACCTCGTTAGAAGGCAATGGAGCATCATCAAGCAGATGATTAAAAACACTGCACAAAGTAACTTCTCTTTCAGACAACAAACACATAACACAAGAAAACTAAAAAAACTAAAAAAAATCACTCTTTCACCATCTTACTCGCTTCTAAGGCGCAGATGCCTTGCAATGGCACACAAAGCAGAACGAGATGCCTTTCCCATGCACCTAAAAATATCAGCCATGCAAGGAGGAGATGAATCCCAATCCTCCAAAGCCCTGAAAAAACAATTCAACCATAATCAACAATAGTAATGACTAATGAGGTTAGGCCAAACATCATACATCTCAAAGCAAATAATTTCCGATTATTAATAGTAACTAACTAGAGATAATCATTAAGAGGTTTATTGTATACCTTCCTGCTCTGTACATGTAAACCCCACGGCTTCCTTTGCCAACACCCATGTGCGCTCTGCTTCTGAAAAACAACCTTGCACCTTCTAAGCCACAACGCATGAGAGCAGTGTCTTCACTACCTAATTCGATCAACGCCGCATTGTGCCTCGTCAGAGACCCAGACAATGCTTCCATTGCTCTTACATAGGGCCCTGCCGGCGCACCATCATAGGGGGCAATATCCGAGAGCCGGATTCTGATCAACGGGGACGTCGTCGCCGGCGCCGCCGTCAGAGCGGGCTCCCCGGACGGGAGAGCTGCGGCGAGAGGCGGGGAGAGTAGGGCTTGGCGGTGGGGAAGAAGAGAGAGAGGCGAAGGTAGCTGGGACTGGGTGGCGGCGACGGTGGAGGGTGACCTAAGGGAGGTGGCGGCGGTGGCGGTGGTGGTTGAAGAAGGTTGAGGATTGTTGAGTTGTGGCACCAGTGCAGAGGGATTCTGCTGCTGTTGCTGTTGCTGTTGCATGATCACCACCATCAATCATTCTGAACTGAATTTGATGATTGTTGAGTTAGGGGTTCTGGTTTCTTGGGATATGGTGAGGTTGCTCAGCACTGTTGTGATGAATTGTGATGATGGCTCCCATGTTTTTGTGGCTTTACTTGAGGAACTACCAGGGTTTTGAACAGGAAGCTGAGAAAGGAAATCACTTTGTTGATTTTTTAAATAATTGGGGAATTGTTATCAAAAAAAAAAAAAAAAAATTGGGGAATTTTCCGAATTTTAATAAACTCCAACAATTAAAATGATATATATATATGGGTTTGGTGTTTGTCATTTTTCATGAAACAAGTTACGTCATTTTAGGGGAGAGATAGACACAGAAAAACGGAAATCATGGGAGAGAGAAAGTGAGTGATTTTTTTTAATTTAAAATTTAAATTTTCTGTGTCTGTATCTCTTTTAAAATGACATAACTTTCTCTCATTCAAAATGACAAACACTTTTCTCTCTCTCTATATATATATATAAGGAGTGATCTTTTGACTCTAAAGTAAGACTTACAACTCTTACTCCTCATATCAACCGTTGATTTCCGTCCATCTAACGGTTATTTATACCAATTAATTAATTATTAATTTCAAATATATAATAACAGTTGGAGGGACGAAAATCAACGGTTGAGATGGAGAGTAAAAGTTGTAAGTCTTACTCTAGAGTCAAAATATTCTTCCTTCTATATCTATATATATATATATATATATGGAAAAAGATATTGTAACAACCAATTTGTGTTACTACCAATCAATCTTACTGTTAGATCGATTATGTTGATCCAACGGTTATATTTATTTTTGTATGGTTATGATTCCTCATGTTTAAAGTGAAAGCATTAAATATGGAAAATCATAACCATACAAAGGTGAAAATAAATATAAAGTATTAAATTTGGAAAATCATGACCATACAAAGATGGAAATAAATATAACCGTTGGATCAACATAATCGATTTAACGGTGAGATTAATTGGTAGTAACAACAACTTAGTTGTTACAATATCCTTTCTCTTTTGCTCTTAATAGTTGATCCGTTTTGGAAGGGAAAAAAAGTTAGCAAATAACATTGTGTTTAGAGTCAGAAAAACGGACTCGACTCTGCGGGCTGACCCGCCCTATCTGTCAAATAAGGCGGGGTGGGCTGAGTTTTACAACTCACTCTCAAAAGCAAGGCGAGGCGGAGCGGGTTGTCTCATTTTTTGGCGGGGAGGAGCGAGGCGAGACGGGTCAATGTAAAATAGGTTCGGACCCGCTCACTTTGCCACCACTACTTGTGTTGAGTAATAATGACTATGATAGTCGGATTTTTTATAATGGTTTGACAAAAGTAAATTATTGATAATATAAATTTATTTAACGTGACAAAAAAGGAGAACACAAATTTTTGCAGCTCTCACTTCGATTTTTTTACTTTCCTTTTTTTTTCTAACTTGTGGAGCCCACAAATTCTTTGTTTCAATGGCAGAAGATCGCGACTTTGCTATCTCTCGAGAACTCTTTTGCCCTATATTTTTCTGTAATTATAACAACTGAGTTGTTTTATTTAGTAGTTGAATAGTAAACTCTTTTTTTAATTTAATTACTGATCGGTCCAACACCATTTAGGTTGGGTCTAATCACACACAGTTGAAAGGTAGAGGATGTTGATAAAGAGAAATAAAGTTATGTGTGTTGTTGCCGAGATGCTCAAGCGTTTGACGAGATGTTGTAACACGTTGCGAGATGATTGAGCAGCACCTTTGTATATCTGGGCAATTTGGGAATGACTAGGGATACCTGAAAAGGCACTTTGACTCTCAAATCAGTTTAATACTCAAGGAAGTTCAAGTATTCAAAGGGAGATACCTCATGTATGGGCAAATGACCTTTGTATTTATAGTGCTTGAGCATTGTGTTTATCATCGTCCTTCATGAGGTGGTGTTTGTGTTGATTGGTGGAGAGGGTGACCTCTCTCAGGCTATTATTTAGTGGGCAAGCCTATGTTTCAAAGTAGATTATGCGGACATGGCGGCAAGCTAGAGCTTCCAACCTTTCACTGGTTCCTGGTGATAGCCAACTTGCCTGAGCTAACCTCGGCAATGATGATTTCTTTCATATTAAGCTATGTTGGTTTTGTAGCCAAGTTTCTTAGCGAAATGCATGCCTCTTCAACGAGATGTTCCACTTTTATACTATGTCGGAGTGGTGAATTGGGCCTTTTGGGTCTTGTTTACAATTGGGGCCTTATCTCATGTATAATAGGTCCGAATCAATTACTAAGTGAAAAATATTTATTTTTGTGGATGCATAAAAGTTGAAAGTAAGTGGAGGGTTGGAGGACAAATTTCAAGCTTCGTACATATTTTGTAATGTAATTATAAATTATTAATCAGCAATAAATTTAAACTTAAGTTATATAGTTATAATAAGTAGGAAGTTTTTTTACCAAAAAAAAAGTAGGAAATTAAAATAACACTGAAAAAATCTGAGTTAATATTTTTTTCACATAGGTACTTGGTTTAATTTACATTTAAGTTCATCTATTTTTACAAACAATAAGTTATTTTGTATTAAAACATTATGGTGTGAATATTTGTAAGTAAAAATATATATGTATAGTTTATTTAAATAGTACACTTAAAAAAAAGCAATCTCATATAGAGTTTACATGTTATGAGAACTTAGTTTGAATTAAAAATGATTGAGTAAATGCAACATAATTAAAAAAGAACCCAAAAGTAATGATTTGATACCTTGAAATTGGGCTTTTAACCGTAATGATGCATATTTCGATATATTTCTCTAGTTTAGTTCGTTGGTCAAATATATTATCAATATAATGTAATAAGACGCACTTCAAGTGTGTGAGCGTTTAGTCGCGCACCTCCCAGATGTGCTTATTAAGTGGCGGGTGACGCAGATGCGATAAACAAGACATCGAATTTCTAACAAATCGCCAACGGGCTCTGAAGCGCACCTGAGACAGCCATGTCTCTAACACTGACGCACTGTTCTATGACACGCATAAACCCGCATGGTAGTATAACTCGTTTCGTGTCCCTAAAATTTTTGCCCACCCCATTGTGCTTCTTCTCTCCCTCATTTGCATTATGATTTTTGTTTCGAGACAAATCATTAATAAAGTTGTTGTTAACTATCTACAATTTTTGGAGGAAAAAATTTCGGTTGAAACCTTTAAAGCAATCACTACCACTTGAAACATTTGCAACTATAAAGCGAAGGAAAAAATGATTATTTTTTGCGACAAAATCTAATAAAGTTGTTTTCGCTATCTACAATTTTTGGGAGGAAGATATTCGGTTGAAACCTTTGCAGCAATCACTTCCATTTGAAATATTTGCAACGTTAAAGCAAAGGAAAAAAAAATTGACCGTTGATGGAGAATTAAGAGGGGAGACAAATACGGAGAGCAAATTAGGGAGAAAATAAGCAGAGTGGGATGGAAGAAGAGGAATGGTCAAAAAATTTAAGAAGAAAACACATTATGCTACCATGCGGCGTTTATGTGTGTTAGGGATGCGGCCACACCAATTGCGCGTCAGTGTAAGCACATCTAAGGGGTGCACAACTAAATGCGCACACACGTCTTCTTGTATTATATTGGTAATATGTTTGATCAACGAACAAAACTGGTGGAATCTATCAAAAAAAGCATCAGTACGGTCAAAAACCCTGAAATTGGATATAAACTATTTTGTCATGTTTTGGACCTATAAGCATGTTAAATTGCCAAATTTAAATTCTTTCAATTCAAATCGATTTATTATCTCAAGTACACATATAATTTGATTGGGAATGGATCCTCTCGTATTAAAATTTTACATGAGATAATAATGTGAAAATTTTGTAAGTATCTCATTCTTTATTAATGATAATTGGATCCCATTTATTTAATGCATGTGAAGAGAGAGATAGCCACAAAATTTACACATAACTTTTAACATGAGAGGATCCAAAGTTTTTGTTGGTCGAAAACATGTAAGGACAGTCTCCATTAATGTGCGAAAAACACTCCGCATCAAAAGATTAAATATTCTCAAAGGCGTCAAAATCTTATCCAAACAATTGAGTCCAAACATCGAAGGTCATGACAACGTTAATGTCACACACTGAGATATGAGATTTTCATCACTATAACGTGGGTTCTTGTAAAAGGACTTCAAAATCAATTTTGAATATGAACTAGATATCTTTGCAAGAGTCCTCGAGTGTATACAATCTAAAATGGATGTAAATGTCAATTATGTAAAATGCCAAACCCAAAAATAACTCGATTCCAAGATTTTTCAATGAAGATAGTCAAAACAAACGCCCTTGTTTGAGATTAATTACTTTCGAACAAGTAGCTAGATGACATTCGTAAATTGGTTGCATCAATGGATGAACCAAAATGACGATCATCATATTTCTTGATACACCTTTAATCTACATTGCACTTTTGAGAGGGTTTATTAGCAATAAGAACGCCGGCCAACAAGGAAGTATGATGGAAAGCTCAAAAACCAAACCAAATTGACCCAAATTCGTGTTCAATGAACAGTGGAAATGATTTTTGCCTTTGAGGCAAAAAATATTTATATCTCACTGAGAAAATGAGAGAGTGAAACCCATAAAATAATGGATCTCACTCTTTTCTTTCTCTTACTCGCAGAGAAATGTTTTATGCCTCAAAGGCATAAATTATTTCCCCTTTCGCATAACCCCATTCTCACGAAAAATATATATATATATATATATATATGAAAATCGACTGGAAAAAGAGAGATTAGGATTAAGGTTTAGTGAAATAAATATTTTTGAGCTTTTGAAGCAATGGGTAAATGATTTAGGAGGTGGGTTAGGAATAAATCTTGAGTGCAATCGATACACTGAAGATTTAGGGCAAATGTAACACCCTGTATATATCCGGTAATGTTATCAAACTATCGTATTAAGCAGCGCTTAATTAAAAATGTGGAATATCTTTTTCTTTACAATTATGATGTCATTCACATTACCAACATGCTTATTAATCAATTAATAAAACATCGCCTGTATGTAATTGCAATAAAACAGCTAACTGAAATACCTCAAAACATAGATAATATAAGTGTGTCTCTATAAGTCACGGAACTACAAC